GTCAGTTCCAACTAAGAGACACTTTATAAGGTTTCCAAGAGTGGCTGGTTGGTTTAAATTGCCTACATTGTGGTTACCAGTCCAGTGCTTATCTGACAGTGCCACACATACAGAATTTGCATCCTGACAGTCTGGCTCTACAGCCAATGCATTTAACTTTTCTGACAGACAATTGGCAAAAGTCTCAAGTCCATTACCCATCTCCCATCTCTATGTTTTTATATTAATTAAATAAGGCAGCATGAAAATCCCTAACGTCGTACTTAGCACATAGTAGGCAATCATTAAATAGTAGTTCATTGCTTTCTCATTAAAGTTTCTTCATGACTTATGACGTGTGTTACTTCTGTCCCTACAGAATTAACTTTTTCTAACTAGTGACTAAGATTAGAAGTTCACAAGAGCCAAGAGCCTTTATAATTCAGGTAGAACAACATCATTGCTGCAGCTGCCAGCCCCAGATGCTTTCTTTTTCTACAGATTCCCCTTCAGTACTTGAAAGTAGAGTAATCCCTCTGAAACTTGCACCTACAAAGTATACTGCAAAGAAAACAGAATATTTCTGTCACATTGGTCTTCTGAATAACTTTGTGTTCAAGGTATTGAGATAAACTACCACAGCCTGAGAAAGTGGTTGATAATTGCTTTTAATCCCACCTACTCATTAATACAGTCTGAAAAAGTTTTTAAATTATACCATAGCAATACCATGTCTTCAGTTGATTGGAGACCAATTATAGAAAATCTTAGTACAGAGTTATATGCTTGTACATATGAAAATATCACAACAATGTAGATATAAAGTTGTGATTTTTGTAGAAATTCTACAGTGGTTTCTCTCACCAGAAAGCATCACCAAATATATCTACTGTGACTTGTTAGCAAAGACTGTGACCAAGACCCAAGGGAACTTGGCAAGCTCTCACCTTCCTTATGGAAAAATCAAGGTAAATAGGATTGATTTGTCCATCTTCAACTGAATTGTTATTTCTACTGGAAGATCATACTCTGGATATTGAAGCTACAAGACTGATAACTCAGTTCCCTTTGGAAGTGCTAAAAACACCAAAAACAGGCCAGGGTGAGTTTTATACATTTTAGTTTTACCTTTTCTGCTCTTAATTGTTTTCCTTATGTTTCTGAAATGTGTGCTATACTTGGTTTGCAACATATCCTTATGTGAGTTAATAGCAAATTTCTATTTATGGTTGGGTATATATCTATCCATTTTTCAAAACATTTTTTGTGTGAGACCACAAAAATGGGAAATAATAATAATGGGGAAAAGTTTAATTTAAAATATATATCCTGTGATGAGGGAAAGGAACTCTGGTGGCACAAGAGTTAAGGGCTTGGTCACTAATTAAATGATCTGTGATTGAAACCCACCAGTCACTCTGTAGAAGAATTATGTGGCAGTAAGCTCCCATAAAGACTTAACAGCCTTGGGAACCCTATGGGGCGATGCTACTCTGCCTTGTAAGATTGCTATTTGTCAGAATAGACTTCCCTGCAACAGATTTAGTTTGGAGTTTGGTAGGATGAGGGAGCAGAAGTCGGCATTTCAAATCTGCATCTGATCCTGATACCCTTCTTGCCTGTATAGGTAAACTTTCCTATAATGAATTTGAAATAAACATTGGTCAGTTCTTCAGCTTTCCATTTTGCTACCTTTCTTTTAGAATTCAATAAATTACTAAGAAAACAAATATAAAACATTATACTTTTTAAAATAACTTTAGCAAAAATGTCAAACAACCTTCAAAAAATATTCTAAATAGCAGAGTTAACCTCTAGCGCTGTGGGTTAATGTGCTAGACTGAAATGTCGGTTTGAACCTCAAGTTCAGTGGTTCAAACTCACAAGCTGCTCCTTGGAAACTCTGTACAGGTCACTATAGACACTGTACAACAACTCTCCAACACTTAACAGCAACGACATTAAGGTATTGCTGTAAATAGTAATACAAGCCCAAAGCTCTATTTAATTTCAATATTAACTGAAAGGCTTCTCCAGCACCCAAAATATCTTCTTTGCCACAAATCTAAACTTGCTCGTTTTCTGATCTGACACTACCATCAGGGTCTTTCCTCTGACATAGGCAACAAAAATGGCCATTGTCTTCAGAAGATCGGCATATTGAAGTATAGGAAATACCTGAGAAGAGAGAGAGAAATAGAAGCTGAAGACAGCAGCTTCCTCTAGCCCTTTTTCATAAACTGTGGAAATGATTCATTTATCTGGCAGATAAGCCTGATCTGGAGGGCTGATACCCATTAGTAGTGATCAGTGATGGAAAACAGATAGCATAGGACGATAGGGTCCAAGGAACCCGGAGGGGCAAATTCCTTCAATAGATCACCCTTGGGAAAGCTGTATATCAAGGCTGTGCCAAGAAAAAGACCAGAAAATAAGCCCCCCTCCAAGCTGGTTCAGAACAACTAAGACACAAAGAGGAAGGTCACTGAGACAAATATATTTAACATTGCCTCCCACCACAAAAATTGGGGTCTGAGTAGAGGTAGAGGGAAGAAGCCTATCCTAGAACTCAGGAAACCTGGGCTTTAGACCCAGTATATCTCCAACCCTGGGTAACCGCGGACCAGTTGCCTTACCTCTCTGGGACTCATATCCTCTATTTGTAAAATAGAAAAGAAAAAGGTAAGCTCTCAGATCCCTTTAAGGGCTAAGATTCTGTGGCTTATGTATTTGTTGTTGCTGTTCTGTGCCATCAAATTGATTCCAATTCACGGTGACCCTGTATAGGGTTTCCAAGGCTAAAAATCTTTATGGGAGCAGAGAGCTTCATTTTTCTCCCATGAAGCAGGTGGATTCAAACTGCCAACCTTGTGGTTAACAGTCCAGTTCTTATCCTACAGCACTGCCAGCATTCCTATATTATGCATGTATTTCTTTAAAAGCAGAAATACTGTTCCTTGGGTCAATATTTTTTTTAACTAATAGGCTAATTTAAAAGAAATTATAACAGCTATTTTGATTTTACTTGTTGACTATTAAGGTAGCCAACAGAACTGGACTTTGAAAGGAGTTGGGAATAATCAAGTCAAGATGGCAACGATATTTGGCAATGATATTAGGCCTGGACTTTGACCTCCAACTTACTGAGCAACTTTGTCCTCAGGTGAGGGGTAGGAGAATAGCCAGCCTTCTTTTACCCTCTCCATATTTTCCAAGGCTTCCAGAGTTTTGTCCAACCACCTTTAAAAAAATTGTTCAAAAAATATCACAGCCACATTGTCAGTTATTTAGCAGCTTTGTGAAAAACTTCTGGCCTCTGAAAACTAGGTTATTGAAATTACAGTTTCAGTATATCATGATAGAACCCACAGGATAACAAGTAGTTTAGGTGAAAATCAATAGAGCAATTCAAAAAAAAAAATTGTGTTCAAGGTCAAGATTTGCATTGCCTTGGACAAATCACTTATTTGATGGGAAGGGAGATGTTTATTTATTTACCCATAAATGTCAGTAACCTAAATCTAAGCACAGATATTTTACTACCTCAAGGGATAAATTACTGGGATGGCCCCTCTCATGTCTCTCCCTCACTCTCTCTCAGTTCTCTCTCTCTCTCTTCACTCGCTATTCAAGGTTGTTTTATATCTCTTGTGAATCAAAATTCTCAATTCTATTATTCCAAAAATTTAACACCTACTAGGTTTCTATCATGACTGAATGGAGATTTTTTTAAAGAAACATAAGCTATTTGACCATAAATTCTAGATAGAAGGTTATAAACATTCAAGAAATTAAGTGGCCATAGCATCATGTTGTTGTTGTTGTTGTTGTTAAGTGCTGTTTAGTCCATTCTAACTCATAGAAACCCTGAATAGGGTTTCCAAGGAGTGGCTGGTGGATTTGAACCACTGACCTTTCAGTTAGCAGTCCAGTGCTTACCCTACAGCACCACACCAATACCCCAACATCATGTCTAGCACTTCTATTCTATCTCTAATTTCATTACATAGTGCTTGAGGTTTAAAAAGCTTGCAAGTGACATCCAAGGTACAATTGGTGTCTATTTGGCTGAAATAGCAGAGGAAGGAGAGTCATGAATAGGGGGCAGAAATGAGCTGTGTGACTAATTGTTGCCTCCACCAACAACTGCCTTCTTCGCCATGAGACCAGAAGAATTGTATGGTGCCTGCTACCATTACAGAACATTTTGATCAAAGATTCTATAGAAGAATGTTGCTTAAAGGAGGGAAATAAACAAAATTTCAAACTGTCATGGAATCCAGATTTTTCTTGAGCCATGGAGGCTGTATGAATCCCTGAAACTATTACCCTAATATAACCTTTAAACCTAGTCTTAAGTAAAAAATATTCCTTAAAGTCATCTTAAAACCAAACAATAGTTTAGTTAGCTAGTAAAGAGCATTGTACTCTTTTAACAATTACCTATGTAGGATCAAAAGGAGCCTGGTAGCACACTGGTAAAGTGCTTAACTGCTAAACAAAAGGTCAGTGGTTCAATCCCACCTGTCGCTTCACAAGAGAAAAATGTGAATCTACTTCCATAAAGATTATAGCCTTGGAAACCCTATGGGACTGTTTTATTCTATCGTATATGGTAACTAAGGAGCTCTGGTAGCATAGTGGTTATGAATTGGGCTGCGAACCACAAGGTCAGCAGTTCAAAACTACCAGCCGCTCCGCGGGAGAAAGATGAGGCTTTCTGCTCCTGTAGTTTTATAGCCGTCGAGTCGGTTCCAACCCATAGCTACCCTAAACAGGGTTTCCGAGGCTATAAATCTTTACAGGAACAGAAAGCCTCATCTTTCTCCTGCGGAGCAGCTGGTAGTTTCGAACTGCTGACCTTACAGTTCACAGCCCAATTCATAACCACTACGCTACCAGAGCTCATTTATATATTGATATATATATGTATATAATGATTGATACAGATGTTAAGTGTCAGGCTTTTTTGTTGTTTTTGTTATGTTTTTTATTACTGACAGGAGTGTCCAACAAAGACAATGGAAGAGGCTTCCTTACTCAATCAAACTTCCCTAGTGACACAGTTTCACCTTAGAGGGTTGTCTACAAATCAGAAGATTCAGATATCTGTGTTTGTCATATTCCTCATTTTCTATGTCTTGACACTGATTGGGAACATCCTCATTGTCATAACTATTATTTATGATCGCCGGCTCCATACTCCTATGTATTTCTTTCTCAGCAACCTGTCCTTTATCGACGTCTGCCACTCTACCGTCACTGTCCCCAAGATGCTGGTGGACACCTGGTCAGAGGAGAAGCTTATCTCCTTTGATGCCTGTGTGGCCCAGATGTTCTTCCTGCACCTCTTTGCCTGCACAGAGATCTTTCTTCTCACTATCATGGCCTATGATCGATATGTGGCCATTTGCAAACCCCTGCAATACATGACAGTGATGAACTGGAAGGTATGTGTGCTATTGGCTGTGGCCATCTGGTCAGGGGGGACCATCCACTCCATTGCCCTGACTTCCCTCACCATCAAGCTTCCGTACTGTGGTCCTGATGAGATTGACAACTTCTTCTGCGATGTCCCGCAGGTGATCAAACTGGCCTGCACAGATACCCACATCATTGAGATTCTCATCGTCTCCAACAGTGGGTTGATCTCCGTGGTCTGCTTTGTGGTCCTTGTGGTGTCCTATGCAGTCATCCTGGTGAGTCTGAGGCAGCAGATCTCCGAAGGCAGGCGGAAGGCCCTCTCCACCTGTGCAGCCCACCTCACCGTCGTCACGCTCTTCCTGGGACACTGCATCTTCATCTATTCCCGCCCATCCACCAGCCTCCCAGAAGACAAAGTGGTATCAGTGTTTTTCACTGCTGTCACCCCTCTGCTGAACCCCATCATCTATACCCTTAGGAATGAAGACATGAAGAATGCTTTAAATAAACTAATGGGAAAGAAAGAAGGAAAAGAAGAAAAATGAAAATGGCTCAGCCCTTAGGATGTTTGCTGTTTCAAATCAAAGGAACGCCTTGCAATGAATAAGTTACATACCATATCTATCAGACTTTATGACTCATAAAACTGTCCTTTGGCCCAATATCTGACAATCATAACAATAGCTGTGATTTTTAACATCTTCCATATGTTGGAAATTGATCTGGATGCTTTGCATCTATTTATTCACAAAAGTCCTGGGAGGGAGGTATTATTAGCCTCACTTACACATGAGAAATTAAAGTTCAAAGAGAGCGTGGCCAGGGTCACCCAGCTAGAAAATTATGAAGGCAGGATGTGAACCTAAGTGTATCATGCAAACTTGTGCTATTTTGATTATACCATGCTGCCTTTTTCCTGCTTTTGTCTCAAATGATAACCAAGATCTAAACAAACCTTCTGGCAGCCCTTGCCTATATCATTCACTAAGACCAGACGTGGGGAAACTTTTTTCCTGACAAAATTTGTAGCATCATTCGCAGACCATACAAAATCATCAACTTAAAAATTAGCCTACTATATTTGGTCAAACATCTAATTCACTCACCCCTAATGTGATGGTGCATTTAACAACAATAACAATGTCATGGTGGAGTCCTGGTGCAGTGCTTTGTGTTAATGCGCCAGACTGCAAAGCAGTTTGAACTGCAAGGTCGGTGGTTCAAGCTCACCAGCTGCTCCTCAGAAACCCTATACAGGGTTGCTCTGGGTCGGAATCAACTCAACAGCACTTAACAACAGCAACAATGTGATGGCTGGAACTGCAGTCACCTTGTCAGGGCCAGACCAAATGATTTTGAGGGCTTTACATGGTCTGAGGGCCAGACGTTCCCCATCCCGACTTAGACACTTGCTTAAATAATTTAGTAAGTGTTGATAAATCAGACAAAGCTAATTTGCATACAAGGGGTACTACAAAAAGTTCATGGGAAAAAAGGGAATGAGAAGCTATTGGAATCTTTCCACAAACTTTCTGAAGCCCCTCATATGGCTTTGATGACTTGGAAAGAAGACTTAAACTACTGAAGTTATTGACAACCTCAAGTTGTTGTTGAGTGCCGTCGAGTCAATTCTGACCCATAGCAACCCTGTATAGGGTTTTCAAGGAGCAGCTGGTGATCTTGAACCACTGACCTTGTGGTTCAAACCAACTTTGCAGTCCAGCGCATTAACCCACAGCACCACACCAGGTAGCCAGGCAAAAATCTGTCATGGAAGCAATAACATGATGATATTTTACTATTTATTTATTTAGCAAATATTTACTGAATACCTATTATATTCTAGGTACTAGGATTATAGTCATAAATAAAATATACATATAATCTGTTTCATGGATTTTAGAATCTAATGAAGATACAAGACACAAAAAAAAGTGTATGCAAATAAATTCTAGACTATGATAAATTATATAAAAGAACAATGCAGGATGCTGTTAGAGAGTCATGGAATAGACTGTCTTTTAGACTGATGGTCAAGGAGGGACTCTGGGGAAATGGCATTTAAGCTAAGATACAAAAGATAAAAAGGAAACGACTATCAGAAAAAGAGGCAATGTGTGATCTAGGCAGAGGAAATGGCAGGTGCAAAGACTTCCGTTGGGAAAGACCTCGAGTTGTTCCAGGAAATGCAAGACCAGTGTGGTTTCAGCTTATTGTAAGGCAAAGAGGTGGGTAGTAAAAGGAGTTTTGAATCTTTTTCAGTGCAATAGGAACCCACCAGGAAGGATTAAGCACACACATGGAATGGTACAATTTTATTTTAATTAAATCATTCAAATAGTTATGTAGCGAATTCATTCAATGCAGCATTCTTTGCTAAATAGCTCATACCCACCAGTCTTGCACTAAGAGATGGGAGAAGATCCCAAGTAGAATCTAGTTGTGACAGTAACACGTTCTTAGAGCATTGTGATAAGTGCTCTAAGAGTGGCATGTGCTGAGAGAACTGGGAAAACAGGGGATCTGAAGAGGATATTCCAAGCAAAGTTTCTCAAATATGTACATACACACAAAAGAGCTTGTGCGTATTGGGAATCAAGGGTTCACTGGACTCCATCAGTAAGAAGGCCATGATTAAATGCAGCTGGAAATCATCTGAGCCATCAGTGAGCCTATGATCAATAAACTGGTGAGCCATAAGATCCATTTTATATTTTTATGGACCTCATTTAATCATAAATATGTAAAACTGATCTGACTTGGGTTTTATGTGAGAATTGTAGGGTTTTGCCAACATGCTACGTTTGTTTGTTAATTTGTCCATAATGGCGTTTATATATTTTCATGAGCATCTCCAAGTTTACGCAATAAACTTCTTTTTATTCTTTGTCCTTTTGAATACTTTCTGTCATTTCAATCATTTGTCTCTTTCCTTTGGAGCCAAAATTAGTCATTCACTCTGTATTGTGTAAATCTGTAATGTGCTGGATTCCTGTGTAGACCTGTTCAATTTTTCAGAATACTTTTTGGAGAGTTAACAGAACATGAATCGAATAATGACTCAAAGGTCCCAATCAATTCTTAATTCATTTCAGAATAAACAAAAAGGGTCAGCTATATTTTTAGTATTGTGTGTACTGTAGTTCATCCCATAGTTGTTATTGTTAAGTGCAGTTGAGTCAGTTCCGACTCATTGTTGTTGTTAGGTACCATTGAGTCAGTACCAACCCATAGTGACCTTATGCACAGCAGAGTGAAACACTGCCCAATCCTGGGCCAACCTCACTACTGTTACCACGCTTGAGTCCATCAATGTTGCCACTTGGCCAATCCATTACGTTGGGGGTCTTCCTCTTCTTCTCTGACCCTCCACCTTACCAAACATGATGTCCTTCTCTAGTGACTGGTCCCTCCTGACAATATGTCTGAACTATGAGAGACAAAGTTTGGCCATCCTGGCCTCCAAGGAGCACTCTGGCTGCACTTCTTCCAAAATGGATCTGTTGGTTCTTTTGGCAGCCCATGGCACTTTCAGTATTCTCCTCCAACACCATAACTCTCATAGTGACTCTATATAGCGTTTCCAAGGAGCAATTTGTGAGCTTGAATCGCCGATCTTGCAGTTCAAACTGACTCTGCAATCCTGTGAATTAACCAGAACTCTATTAGTTCCATTAAAATTGATATTACAACTCTTTTATATGGTTGTTGTTGTTGTTAAGTGCCAAGTCAATTCCAACTCATAGCGACACTGAATAGGATTTCTGAGGTGCAGCTTGTGGATTTGCTTCTGTGGTTCGCAGTCCAGATCTGATCCTACAGTGCCATACCAGGAGTCTGTTTTATATGGTAGCTCTCTGGACATCTTTAAAATCTTCATCTATACCGAATCTAGTCCCTTCAGTCACAGTGTATCACCCTCCTGGTTACCTATGTAATTAGTAATAGAGCTTTCTGTTTCACAATAAACCGATACACTTCAGTAAGCCGACACAAATTAAATCCAGGAAATCAACAACTTTGGAACTATATGCATTCAATCAACTTTTAACTATTTTCATTTATATAATTTTTAAAATAAATTTTAGAATATTATTAGAAACTCTACCAAAAATACTGTGGGTATTTTAATGAAAAGTATATTTAATATATATTCAATTAGACCAAGTATGTTGATCATGTTTTTATTTATGTGTAGCAACATGTCTGTATCTTCAAGTTTTCATAGACTCACACATGGTTCCTTTATTGGACAAAAAAAAAAAAAAAATCCATATAAATTATTCTATTAATTTTATATTGCTACTTTAACAAAATAGGAGTTCTGGTAGCTTAGTGGTTACGAGTCGGGCTGCTAACCTTAATATTAAGGTCATCATTTCAAAACTACCAGCTGTTCCACAGGACAAAAATGAGGCTTTCTGCTCCCATAAAGATTTACAGCCTCAGAAGCCCTATGCAGGTTCACTATGAGTCAGAACGGATTCCACAGCACATAACCACCACCACCTTATAACAATTTACCACAAATCCAGCAGCTTGAAACAACACAAATTTCTTATCTTATGATTATGTAGGTTAGAAGTCCAACACCATTTTCACTGGGCTAAAATCATAGTGTCAGCAAGATAGCATTCTTTTCGAAAGGTTCTTTGTTGTTGTTAAGTGCCATCAAGTTTGTTCCGACTCATAGCAACCCTGTATAGGGTTTCCGAGGAGTGACTGGTGAGCTTGAACCACCTACCTTGCACTTCAAAACGACTTTGCAGTCCACCAGTACCACACCAGAACTCAAGGAGAATTTGTCTTCTAAAATTTCTTGAGACTACTGGCTCCCTTTATCTGTCTTCAAAACCAGCAACATTTGTTGGAGTTTTATTTAAACACTTGTTCATATTCTTATATAGTTCTAGATAAACTAAACCCACTTGTCAAATAAATTCCAACTCAGAGCGATCCTGTGGGACAGAGTAGAACTGTCCCCATAGGATTTACAAAGCTGTAAATCTTTTACCGAAGCAGATTACTACTTCTTTCTGCCATGGAACCACTGGTAGGTTTGAAAACACTGACATTTTGGTAAGCAATTGAATGGTTAAGCCCTGTGCTACCAGGGATCCTTATATTACATTGTTATTGTTGTTAAATGCCGTGGAATCAGTTCAACTCATAGCTAAAGTGTATAGGGTTTCCAAGGAGCAGCTGGTGAGTTTGAACCACCAACTTTGTGATCCAGGGCTTTATCCTGCAGCTTCACACCAGGATTCCATGTTTCTAAATAGAGTCCTCAAAAATCTTAATGCTAGTGTAATACCAATGTAATGCATATCCATCTTTATGCAGTATTCAGCCATCATGTGACAAAGAAAAATTTCCTATATGAAATTTGAGCTTTCCTTTCATATTTAATTTATGATATAATGATACTTCACAATCAATAAATAGTTTCAGTGAATAGGTTCATTCAACAAATCTGTTTAAGCAATAAAGCTTTACTTTTTCTAAGTTACCTCAAGGAAAGATAGGTAGAAAAAAATAAACATAT